AATCATTTTTTTATGCTACCATTTCCAGTTCTTGTTTGAGATCTTCAAGCTTGTCCTTGTCCTTGTCCTTCTTGCCCTTCTTTTCTTTTTCAGGAGCATGTTTCACCAAAGGTGTGGTTACAGCTTTGTCGTCATCTGCCTTCCCATACTACAGGAAAGAAAAATAAAACAATTCAACATCATTGTCATCATCCTCTTTATCATCAACCTTTTAACCCTTTGACTCCCAGAAGTGATTAACAAGTAACTTCTCCCTATAATATCCATACATTATCTAGCAAACAGGTAATGAGAATATTCAAACTTATCAGGTAGAAGCTGTTCTCTTACTCTAGCACCAAATTCTTGAAATTAATTTAAAAGGAAATATGTAGCAGCTAGAGGAGAGAATTAACAATCGGATCTTGGGATTTTAGGTGTTAACCCATTTGCTTCCCAAATCTCAACAAAAATTCTTCTCACTATCTGCTGAATATTAAAGTCTCATAGCCTTGTTCTAAGAATTGAGCATTAAATTTAAAAAAAAAATACTACCACGATGACATTTTTATGTGCTCCTTCTATGCTCTACAATTACTTACATTGTAGCTAGAAATAATGCTTTTATCAATCCTGGGAGTGAAAGAGTTAAGTCAAACGCAAAAGATGTTTTATCTTAGTAGTATAACAATATTTTAAGGTGACACAATCATATCTGTGAAAATGTTTAGAGATATTCTGAGCCCTTTTGAAAACATCTTGTGGAGTTCCAAGAACATCCCCCCCTCCCCCAAAAAAAAAAAATCTCAAGTGTTGTGTCAGGAGCACTTTTTAAGTGTGTTCCCAGCTGCATGCAGCAAAGTGAAGCCCCTGATGATATTTTTCTTTATTCTCATCACTTGTCTGCTTGATATTGTACGGAGAAATGTTGTGTGAAATTCTGTCTTGGTTACTCATGGGAGTTTAAAGCTAACATGAAGCCTTTGCATATGGTACACTTTTTTCCTCTTACTTTATTTTCTTACTACAACAATTCTCAGGGTTCAAAATGACTGCTAGTGAATGGAAAACCTTCCCTAAAATGTAAGTTTTGTCTGTTCTGTTTGTTAACTGAGATATGATGTAATGGATATTTGTTCAAAATATAGTTTGATCAGACAACTTGATTGCCACTGGCTGGAAAATAAATTCATACCTAGTGCATACTGCCAAATGCTCAGAATAGGTCCATTTAATTTATTGAACTTGCCTGACATTTGTTGGTCAGGAAATATAGGACAAAAAAAGACAAAAAAATAAGTGAAAAAAATATATATACTGAACCTCATCAGCAGTGCCACCAACATCAAAATTTTCTTGAAGATAAGCAGCCCCGAGCTCCTCTTTTTCCTTAGTACCATTCTCCATTATCTGAAAAATAAAACCATGTTTTCTATCACCAAAATGTTGCCTCATTCATAAAAATCAATCAAAATTTCTTACAAGAAGTGAACTGTCAGGCAAAAATGAACATCACAACAAGTCTGCAGATCAATATATCAACCAAAAAGTCAGTAACAAATAACAAAAGTGTGGGGAGATATGTGTTGTGCAGCTATACGACAGACCAAACAATAAAACTACATGAATGAACACATGTAAATGCAAATAGAAGAAATTGAGTAAAACATTCACCTAAAATATTATGCACAAAATGGACACAAAGTTGAATTTCAGACACACAAATTAAACTGAGATTGTTTGAGTTTGCCAGTAAAAATGAATCTGATAGAAGTCTGGAGAAATAAAAGAAATGCTAAAATATTTCCTGTCTAATCTCCTAGACAAGAATTTTGTATACAAATGGAAAAACATTACTGATAATGGTGCCCACAAAGCTTTTTATTGGTCATAAGTAATAATCTTTACACATTTAAAAGGAAAAATTAACAGAAAACAGGAATATTTAATTTTAGGGTGATAAATATTTTATGAGCTATAACAGAAGTCACCTGCATGGAAGGAAAGAAAGTAAAAAACAGGCAAGTGAATCATTTATGAAATTAGAAAAAACAAAGCAGATACAAAATTGAAGAATATTCCTGCCAACTTCAATAATCAGCTCATATAACCATTTCTCAACTATCAAAAATACATGAGATTTCAAATCATCAAATCTTGAATTGATTCAAATTTAAAATTCTTCAAACTGTTTACTGTCAAATTTAAGAGTCGTTAACTTTTAATTCAGAACTTGGAACATGTATGATTAGAGTATTTTGACATATTACAAACAGCCAAAGAGCCATATGGTTTGGTAAGAATGTGTGTAGGCATGGGAAGAGGGAGACCAGAAATTTCTCTCATCCTGAATTTTTTTTTCTTTTCTTTTTTTTTTTTAGGCGAGGCTATAGATGCATTATTTTTTTTACTTATAATTAACCAGTAGTGTCCTAAAGTCTCTTGTGATTAATTATCAGTGTAAGAATAAACAGCTGTAACCACAAAGAGAGACCTGTAAGTCTTACCAATAAAATCTCAATCTTTTCACCTGAACATCATTATACATATTCTCTAAACTGTTCTTTATACACTGCTCAAGGTGCTAACTAGGAGACTTCGTTTTACAATCAAGAGCTTTTTTAGTTGATAATCGCTTTTTAATTTGATTCAGGGGTCATAATTTGCGAGGAGATTTTAGATGATGGTCACCTTGGGGGTTTTAAAAAGCATCAACATACTCTAGTGAGAAGTATTGTGAAGCCTTTTAAAGATCAGAATGGGTCCGCAGACTGTCATTCATTTGAACCCCTGGGTATAACAGTATTTTTTTTAACAGCTACAGACAATATATTCCACTCTGTGGCTGGCACATATCTTATGTTAACATTACCACTGTCCACAGTCATATGAACTTGTCCAAATGTTAAAAATAAGGGTTGGTACTGTCTCTATCCTTTCACTCATTCTGTATGAATTTCTGTATGTGTTTAACCATATACACCCCAACATCAGGATGCAATTTCTCCATACTGTTCTCCAAAAATTTCTTATGATATTGGCAAGGAGAATTTTCTCATCAATCAAAACCTTCTTTAGCTAATGATCATATCCTTTATTCCCATGACCTTGATGCTTGATGCAGCAGTGATTTTGTGAGGAGAAATTAGATATAAATCACCCTCAGGGTTTTGAGGGTTAAAATAGCTGTTAGCATGGCCTGAAATCATTAATAGCTGTTGTTTACAAAATCACACGGTTTAATATCCCCACGATTGCAATTCAAAGTCCCATAACTGATGTCTACAAAATCATATGAGTGTTTCACATCAAATGCTACTGCCACTTCTGAGAATGAAGACTATTTTGTGTTTTAGGTATGTTTGGATGTTTGTGGGATTAGAAGACACAACAAATACTGGGGCAGATATTCCACAATCTTGGCCTTTTTTTTTTCTCACACTGTTATGTTGTGAATGCAATTTTGTTTTTCTTGATGGAACTAACATTTTTTTTGGCTTTCATTTCTGGTAAATGAATGTCAGCCCAAAACCGCCCATCTACTCTTAAATGAATTTATTCATCGCATGGGACGGTCACAGAAAGTTTGAAATCAACAATGTAAACACACTGTCGTGAGGGGTATTCTTTCCAAAGACAAATCACGACAGACACAAACACAAAACACAAATCACTACAATAATAATTGCAGCTTACAAATTTATCATGAAAATATACTATGGCTTCCATCTGTCATTCATTTGTCCGCAAATGACAATTACAAGGATAAAAATGGAATTTGAAAGGCGTTGAAGCTTGTAAACGTGATATTGAAATCCAGTTGAATATGCGATATTGCTTTGGTCTTCACCCTTCATTAAGCTATATTACGAATATGATAAGATGTCTCTTTTAAATAAAAACAGCTTGAGTAAAATCAATTATAAATAAGAAGGGAAAGCCATAACGCAGAGAACGGCATCAGTCGATCGACATCTTGCGAGCGATCCAAAAATAAAATCGATAAAATATTAACATTCACTTTCGCATCGAAATCACTCGACTGCGGAAAACTACCCAAGCTGTATCTGAATTTTTTCGGATGACACCGGCTTGAAAAATATATCGTACTCATTCGCAGAAACAAACAATATACATCGCCGTAAAGCGAATTTAACATGTCATGCACGTGTATCAGAAACAATAGTTAACCACAACAAACATCTTTAGGGTGTGTGCCAGCGTCGAGAATCATGCCCACGCTAAAAGCGCTCTAAATACTTTCAAGACGTTATGCTTCTGATTTAATGACAAAGTCGCTGGAGTAATTCTCTTTCCTAACGTAACCGGCTAAATCGATTCAGAAACGCACCGTGCAACGAGAAGTCTGTTGTTTATCTGGTCATTGTGTGACAAAAGTAATACCGCAAGCTGTTGTGACAAACAACTGAAAGATCTGCCTTCGTATATTTCATTCCTCAATAGGGAATGCTGATCGATGGACTACAGATAGCAAATTTCACAGACAAGCAATCTGTCTACATCTCAGCTTTCTTTCTCGTAGTATTGCAATTAACACAATCAATTGCAGCTGCCAATAAGGACATACATGATTCATGTATCCGGGCATGTTTTACTAACTTCAAACAAAGACCTGAGCTCGTTTCGATTCTTTGGCGACATGGATGTTTATGCACATCAAGTGATCTTACTCAAAACATATCCCCAAACTGATTTTTTCTAAATAAAAGAAAATAAGAATTTCTATGTGATACTTACCGCGAAATTCAACGCCTTCTTTGCAGGTATATATCACTTGCGGACTTGAAACGCTCACACAGCCGGGCGGAAAAATTAGATTGACAACGAATTATCTTCCCTTGAAATCTACTACAGCTCGATCAGCTAACGTGACTGCAAAATCTAACAGGTTCACCTCAGGCGCAACCGCTTGGAAAATCCCAAAACAAAGAGCAATATTCTCTGCACCTCTGCGATCGTCCCGCCAGCTCCTCCTACCGTACGGTACGCGCGATCCGATGACCCAAGCGTCGGCGCACACGTGTTTTTTACATGCCGACGACAACGAAGGAACTTCGGTAAACTTCGGCGATGGACTTAGTTCCGGACGTTTATCGACCGAAGATCGATCGTTATGCAACTGTCAAATGGTTTTGAGCGGTTGACCCAGGAGCTCCTGGGATCATACTTTAAATGAATCATAGTACATCGTCAATCTTAATATATTTTCCGAATCGCGTTGCTTGGCAAAGTTGGAAGGGAAAACTCTTGTGCTTACTGCAGTCTCAGGTAAGCTTCGATCAGATTTTCTTTTCTTTCGTGTCTTCTAAAAGCATGAACAAACATACATCGCTGTGAACATTAGCCACGAGGCGTCAGGTGAAATTGATGAGTCACGCGTCTCCCGCGCGAAACATAATTCTACAATGTTTGATTCACGCAAAGACCAAGCTGAGCTAAACTTCACTGAGATTATTTCAAAGTAGTCCTTGCTCTTGCCTGTCGAAGGAACTGCAACAACAACAAAAAAAAGCGCGCTTTTTTTAGTTCGAAGCAAATAGCAAACCTCAGCGCTTTTTTTTGTTGCAGGTTCATGCAGAAGGTTTAATCTTAACGCCCTCAGGAAGAGAACCACGAAAAATAACCCTCATTTTTTTTTATAGCCCTGTGGAACATTTTATTTTGCGTTTGCTTCTCCCAGTTGAAACTATATCAGCAGCCGACTGAAACCATTTTTTTTATGAAAATAAACTTACGATTTTTACAACTGCAATTTTGGTATGTTTTCGTGTAATTCTTCACATAAGACCAGATTCTGTCGGAAACTACAATCAATACATATGTTATCAAAAAAATGGACACTAGCGTAATTAAAAAACTCTAATTTCCCCTCTGGACTTGCCAGGTGTCTCAAACAAGATTGAATTCTGCTTGCATTTTGTACCTTAATTTTGTTTGCATGAGACGTACTTCGTTAAATAGTGTATTGTTATTATGATTTTAATATTTTGGGGAGTGAGTCAAATTACTGCAGTTCACGTAGCCTGGTTTAATCATATTATTCCGGATTTTCATCCTTGTAATTTTGCACTTCTGTCGAGTGTTATTATTTTTATTTATTTATTTATTTTTTACTGCTTCTTTCTGATAACCCCGTAAAGTTAGTCAGTCGATGTATTGGTCTGTTACTCAAAGATATAATTTAACCAAATCATCACTACTGCTTGGTGGTAGCACTAAGGTCAATGGTTGCTGTGCATCTGTTCACTAATCGGTCACAAATGATGTCAAGATGTGGTAGGAAACAAAAAGGGGACACATGCAGCACAACTAAGTGCGTCACCAATGTTCTTACCACATTCCAACTTTTTCTTCTGCAGAACAGACACGCAGAAACGTAGAATCTATGCATTCATAAGATGAATTACATAATTGTGTCTTGATATTTGTAAAAAGCTGGCTTGTTAGGGTGTTGTTTCATAGAGATTTAATCAGAAACCAAAAAACTGCCCAAATTGTTTCTCAAAGCTTAAAAGTTATTTCTCAAAACAGAAAACCTGTAGAGAGTAATAAGCATCCTAAATAACGCAGACAAGACAAGGTCTTTGAACAAGACAATTTAACACAGCAAAGTCAAGCTGATTTCATGCATAAAAAACCCCTGACATTCAGAGAGCGGCAAACTGAAAATGGCAGTGGTTTATTATGGAAATCAAAAACCAAAATACAGATAGTAAAAACTATTAGATCAGTATCAAATATGACCAAAACTGGGAAACTGAAAAGCCTAAAAGAAACACTCTTTCTTTGCAGTTTTGTTAAAATTATTTTTATTCATCATGTTTATGTCCCGGTTTTGTATTTACTCAATTTTATTAACAGTTCCAACCAAATGTTTAGCATTTCCAATACTGTGTCTACTCAAGGACAGCATTAATATTTTTCAATAATCCATTTTATAGTTGTGTAATTGGTTGCCAGGCCTTTGAACAGGAGTGAGGCTAAGGGTGACCATGTTATGATACAAACCTTGCTGTTTTTCAAAAGTAAATTAATTTGTTCTCATGCTAACTAGAAACTGGTCTCTATCACAACAAGGTCACCTTCAGCCTTACGCGAAATCAAAGGCTTGGCAACTAAGTACATAACTATAAAATTGTCTATTAGAATGAAATTGATCTCTGTATTATTTCATAACTAACTGACAACAATTGAGGTTAATCATTTCATACATTAAAGAAGGGAGATGTATTGGTGTGATGGCTAGTACACTGGACTCTGTGACAAGACGGAGGCTTGGTTTAAGACCAAGCCAGATGAGTGTGTTGTGTTCTTGGCCAAAACACTTTAGTTTGACAGTTCCTCTCTCCACCCAGGGGTACAAATAGGAACCAGCAAGTTTTCAGGGAAGCCTGATGAAATGTTGGGGGGTAACTTTGCGATGAACTTGCATCTTATCTAGGGAGGAATGCTAATACTCTCAGTCACCTCATGCTGAGAAAACTGGGATAAGCTCTACGTGGATGGACTTTTTGGCTCAAGTACAGACTTAAGTATACCTAATACCTATTTGATACATTGGTGACTGATGTAGAAACTTTCAGTGAACACATTTTTTTTTCTCTCATGGCTGTGCTTTTCCATTTAGGACTACAACATATCTGCAGCATTAGGTGGTGCATTTACACTGAAATTTACACTTCTCAGCTATGGCAGAGGGCAAGAAAGATTTATTTGTGGTTGCAGTTCAGAAACACAAACCCAATGAAGAAGATGACCTTGAGTCAGAGCAAGCTGTGAACACTTCTCCAGATGTTGCTGCACAGCTATCTGTGGAAATTGGAGAGAAGTTTGAAGTTCTTGGGAGAGATGTGGACTGGTGGCTTTATGTAAAACATGTCGGCAGTGGAGAAAAGGGTTACATTCCCAGCACATGTGTGGTTCCTCTGAAGGATGATTTGACGCAAGAAGAGTAAGTTACAAATACAGTAGATAGCACCCAGTGGAATATTCCTTATAATGTACATGTGTATTAGTTAGGCTTATCTGATTTTATCTTGTATATTTAGGCAAAGATCTAAAAATTTACATTAATTCACATTGAAACTTAATTTCTCACCATGGTTTCTCTTTTATAATGTTGCATCTGAAGTAGCAGATCGGGGCATAAGTCATTTTAAATACTAGATGACTATTCATTGAAATAATGATTTTTCTAAATATGATTTAATCCTTGCTCTCTTTGTACTTGCACCAAACACCTTCCTACATTTGGAAATTCTTGCTCAGAATAAAGGAATGCATGTCTTAGCTACTTAATTTTTCTTTGAATTTTCAAGGGGAGTATGCTCCTGTATCCATGCCCCCTCCCCTCAGGAAGGTGATGGCCAGGACATCTCAATCGAAGGCTGTGCAAAACTCACTCTTTGCTCGCAAATCAATTTTTTGAAATCTCTGCTTTGATATATTTGTCTCTTAATACCACATCACATTTTGGAGAAATTTCTCTGTATTCTTTTAAATCACACTGCCCAGAAGAGGACAATAGCACAACAGTATTAAGCAAAAAACCTTCCCTACCCTTTGCTTTTTCCAAAGGAGTAATTCTCTCAAAAATAGACCTTAATAATCCAATTTACAGATGTCGGCTTGGTTGCCAAGTCTTTGAACAGGAGTGATGCTAAGGGTGACCATGTTATGTTACAAACATTGCTGCTTTTCAGATGTAAATTACTTCATTATCATGCTAGGCTAGATACTGGTCTCAATCACAACAAGGTCTTCATCAGCCTCTCTCCAAATCAAAGGCTTAGCAACTGGAGTTTGCAACTGTAAAATGGTCTACTAAATATTTGTGGCATATTAGTTTGTTTGCTGAACAGCATTTTTAACTTGATAATTTGTTATATAAGTACTTTTAAATTTTGTTATGTTTTGTTTTGCTCTGTCTTTTGAAGGGAGGATGGGATTGCTAAAGGAGCAGAGCTGACTGCAGCTCTGGTGAATACATCAGTTGATCTAAAGTTCTTTCCTGAAGCACCAGTAGAGGCTGAAAACAGAGTAAGCTCTTTTAATATTTTTATCTTATTTACATAGGTAACAACATGATTTTAGTGCAATTTGGTGTTAATAAGCACAAATAAATTTTTAATAGACAACAAAATTGCAACACCCTGTGGAGTGAGTGCAGTTAGTAATCTTTGAAGAATTTTCAAGTGCTCATTTGCACCAAATTGCATGAAAAATTAATAATTGTATGAGAAACTATTATGTTGTTACTTGATAATAATTTACATGAAAAAAGGTATGACAGAAAGTCAAGACGGACAAAATTTTTGTAAGGAATAAAGAAACTCTATGTCATTTTTACAAATTCTTTTTGTTTCTCAAATATTTGGTCAGGGTAAGTATGAAAAGAGTGCTACATGTAGGAGGGTCACAGTGAGAGTCATGTGATTTGTTCCTGAGGAGTTTTATTAGTGGAAAAAATATGATAGATTATAATTAATATTTTGCTTTTTTTTTTCCTCTCTCTTATAGAAACCATGCCCTGAAGATTCGGCAAATATTTTTTCCAGGTTGGGATTTATGTGGCTCACAAGGTAATTGCAATTCTGCAGTTGACATATGTTTTGAAAACAATTTTAAAGTTTGAAGTTAAACAATCACAATCAAGCTGTTTGGCTTTTCCCAACTCTGCCCACGTCATAACTTATAATTTTGATCATAATTTTAATCATTTGAGGGATAAAGCCCTTTAATGGGAGTAAAATAAAGCCTACCAGAGCCAAGTGACCCACCCAGCCAGAGCTTATCCAGGTTTCCAAGGCATGAAGTGACCAGCAGAATCACTACTCCCCCCCTGGATGATGAGATGCTAGTCCATCACCCAGGGGGGGTCATCACACTTCCCTGACAATTGGTCTTATCCATTTGTACTCCTGGGTGGAGAGTGAAGTGTTTTGCCCAAGAACACAGCACTTTGACCCAGCCAGGTCTCAGATATGACCAC